CACACACACACACACACACACACACACACACACACCCCACCACCACCACCACCACCGGTCCTGACCTTTGGTGTGTTGCTTGTGAAGTTCAATCCCATCACAGCAATTGCCTTCTTAGAAGCAGAAATGACAAAGTCTGGGGTTTTCCTGAACCTTCTGTGGTGCCATCTTGGGTTGGAGATATTAGGAAGACAAGGAGGATGGGCTTTAATTCTCCTCCCCTACTTCACTATAAGAAACTCTTTTTAAATCTATTTTATGTATTTGGTTTCTATGTGAGTTTACTGAAGCAACATTTTCTCACTGCATATTTCCTCTTTCTTAGCCAATACTTCGATTGTGTCACTGGCCACCTTCATGAGGATGGGTATAGAATCCATATCCTCTTTCCCTTGTCTCTAATAGCCAAGTGTATTATTAGTCTCAGCAACTCTGGCCCGTGGAGGACATAAATAAGCTCTATTGTAGACGAGTGTAGATTCCTTTCAGTAGACTTCATGGGAATACAAGGGCCACACAGCTCCTAGCCTTCTCTCCTGACCAAAAACCTGCCCCTTGTTGCTCTTTTTTTGCAGTAAAAGGACAGTCTGCTTACCTGATCCAGTGAACTTACAAGAAAGTGGGTCTGTTTTTCATGACTGGAAAATATCCTGTTTGTAACATAAGCCTGGGCAGGACACATCTCCCTGGATTTTTTTGAGGGGGGTGTGTGTGTGCGCTCACACGCGCAAGTTATGTTAGACCATTACTACTAAGGGAGAAGTTCAAATTCTTGGTTTTTTTTTTCTCATAATTAGCTCCATGGAGGGGAAAGATAATTCATCTGATAGAAGTTGATCTCCATTGCCAATGTGCAAAGCTTTATATAGATACTATTTTCACTTCCCTGTTCCGATGTAACTGCAATTGTCTCATTCCTTGGGCATCTGTACTTAGGATTCAGTGGAAACATATACAGAGAAAAATGGCTTTTAAAAAAAAATCATGGAATATCTGGATCATTGTTTTATTGGGATGGAATTCTGTTACATTGAAAAATAATTTGTAGTCTATGGGATTGGAGAAAATAGCAGATATTGAATTTTCTGTATCCAAATAGCACCTGAAAAAACAAGAGAGCAGATGGAGGGGAGGAAGATGGCACCATTCGTTATCCCTAACCCTCCTCTGGATATCTGGAGGTCTTGGAGGATCCCAGACACATTTTGGGATTTTCTTTGGGTCAGTATTTCCCAAACTTTGATCTTCATAAATCTTGCATTGGCCACAGTCTTGGGGGTAGGGGAGGCAAAACAAAATAAAATCTAGATGGGACAACTTGAGGAGAACTGGACAAAAAAAAAATTCTTTTTATGATAATCCTCTCTGGGGAAACACAAGGAATAGTGCCATTTCCTGGGACAAGTGGCAGTAGGGGCTGCTTTCCCCTGAGCCTGACACAAGAGGGTTGGGAGCACCCAGGCTGGGGACAGGAGGGAGTGTGGACCTGCAGCTGGGGTCACCGCCAGCCCTGCAGTCCTGAAGGGAGGGGTGTGGTTGCTCAGGCTCCACTCTTCGCCCTCCCTCATTCTCCTGCTTGTGCTCCCCATTGGGTGATCCCAGCCAGAAGCCAGCGAACAGGAATCCCCTCGGTGTGACCCCGTGACCCTGGTGGGCCCAGGGCATTCAGCAGGGAATGGGTGGATGGAGATTGGGTGGCCTGTGCAGAAAACGGGGGTAACAGAGGTTTGACACACGCCTTCACTACTTTTTCCCCTGGTTTTTCTCCTCTTTAACTATGTGTAAGCTTAAATAAAAGTGCTTTTAAAAGGAAACTGCTTCCTCACGGTTCACTCTCCTGCAACAAAGGCAGAAAGAATGATGTGAGCAGCAGGCTGCAGTCGCTTCACCTGGGTCTAACCCTCAGGCACTGGCAGCCAGAGACTGGGACTTTCAGGAATGCGACTGGCAGAAAGTAAAGAAAGGGACACTCTGAGGGCGTCCCCCCACGCAGTCATCTACTGTGTCACAGCCAGCGTGCGGAAGTCATATCTGGAAAAGCCACAGGTTCCCCACACAGGCTTGCCATTTCCTTTCCTTCACAGTCTCTCTTTGCCCCACGAGACTGTCCCTGGAGGAGTCTGACACATACCTTCTTAGTTTGCTTTGCTGCCCCTTGCTCTTCCGTGATCCAAATGATGTTATATGATGCTGATTCTAGCTGAGGTTAAACTGACCTGACCTGCTTTTCACTGTTCTTGTACTTTTGCTTTTGGACATCGCCCCGTGTTTCTTCACTAATGATATCTCCTAATTTTCAAGCACCATTAAACCCACTCACATGTTATTTTGCTCCCCATCAGAAACACTGGTTCATTACCTTACACGGAAGCCAATTTCCCTTGTAAATTAATCCTAGGAATAAATACAGCGAGAACACCTGGGTCTCAGATTCCAACTCGATACCGTGGCCTGCTGAAGTCTCTGAGTTCCAGGCCTGTTTTTCCTAATAAAAATGAGAAAATTATAGAATATAAGAGAAATGTTAAAAACCTAATGATGATGCATGGAGATTTTCTTCTATAGGCTCAGTGAATTGAAAGAAAATGAAACCTGGAGAGCTTTTTCGCTATGAGATTCCATACTATTTTATGGAGGGTCTATATATTCCTTGAGATCGTCCTGTCCAGGGTGCACAGCCCTGGCCTTGGGAAACTTGTCTTTAAGGAGGTGGGCTGTCTGAAGGCCTGGGAAAAGGAGAGTTAATGCAGCACTCTGCTGAATGGCAGGGCTCAGCCATAGCTTGGCTTCTCCTCCACACCCACACTGCTTGCAGCATTCCGCTGGGCTCTTTCCACGAGCGAAGACTATTGGCAAAGTAATTCAGTGCAAAAAACCAGGTTCACCACCAAGCCATGCCCCTGGAAAGTACAAAGAAACTTGATGCTGAGATAACTGCACGAACACATCAGCTGACACTGTGTGGCTTTTTGCTACGTTCTGGGTGACATTCTGAGGGTGTCACACACACTGACATAGTTTATCCTCTCCGCAAGTCTGTGGGCTACAACTGTTACCCACTTTACAGATGAAAGACCTGAGAGAGAGAAGAACTTTTGAGGAGCCAGGGTACGAACACCAGCTGCCCAACAGCAGAGCAGGTGATCAAACAGTACTACAGCCAGGCTGGGGAACAGGACCTCTGAAACCACAGCCAACAAAGTCCCTCTCAAGGGGCCATGGTGGGACCCCCAGAACTGGCTACATAATTTTCAGTGTCCAATGCAAACAGGAAAAATGAGCTTTGTATTTTAAAAACTGAGAATTTTAAAATGAAACATCCCCAATCTTTTTTTCATTTTTTATTTTGAGAGGGAGAGCTCCCTATGACACTAAGTTCTCCAGTGGGACTCAAACTTGCAGTCCTTCTGCCTCAGCCTTCCCGAGTGCTGGGATTATAAATGCACACCATCACACCTAGTTAAGCACTGGTCATTTTATGTATAGGGTCCTGAATGATTTTATAGGTCACATACCTGGGAAGCCATCCCTGTAGCCAGATGATCCACCCAGCATTCCACCCAAATGTATGTAGTATAATCCACTGTAGACCCACACCTAGCTGCAGGTGGCTAAGGAGGGTCATAAAGGATGCAAAAAAGGTTGTAGGACTTTTGAGGGGTGTGCAAGTATTTCTTACAGAAAATATTTCCACCCCAGAGGGCATTATGGTATCAAGCAGTGCTTGATTTAGAGACAAATGACAGTGAAGGCTCCTCAGTCCCTTCTACAGAAGAGGAAGGTGAAAGTTTGGCTACCACAGAAGGAGCGCAGTCACAAGTGGCAGGGAGTGTTTTGGGAACACCCTCTCTGACATCTAGTGCAAGATGCCAGGGAGAGACTGGGGTGGGTTGATGAGGGAGATGGTGACTTTCTGACAGCTTTGGTGTCTGATGATGGCCCTTTGGGGACAGACCTAGGCAAGAACCTCCACCGTGTCCTACAGTCCCTCGGGACTGTGGGGTGCTGGACAGGAAGGAGGACATGCATGCTCGCCTCTGAAGACAGTGCTGGCTGCTTCAACAAACGGAGAACAGAGGTGGGAGTAGGAGGCAGAGAAGACATCAGCCTGGATGGGGTGACCGCAGTCAGAGACAATCTCACTGGGCCATAAGCCCTGCCTTCTGCGATGCCCTTCTGTGAGGGTGCTATGTGCTCTCGTACTTTCCTGCCAGCAGCTCCCCAGTGCACTGCAACAGCAAATCTCTCTGTGAAGAATTAAGACTTTGTCTCACCTGCTGTTGTGGTCTTAGTGCAGTGGTAGCATGCAGGAGTTCTCAGGTATTTGTTAGGAAATGGAGGCATTGCCCAAGGGAGTATTTTCTCTTCTAAGGTTTAAATTTATTGATAGGACTTACCTCTTCCTGGGCGGAGAGAAAAGTTTTCACTGACTTGACCCTTCACTTTTTGTAAATCTATTCGGATTTCCTTTTCTCTTGAGTCAGTCTCTGTAGTTTGAGTAGTTCTAGAAATTTGAGTATTTGACATATGTCATCTACTTTGTTGGCATATGATTATTCATGGTGCTCTATCCTTTTTATTTCTTTTCTTTTTTTTTTTTTTTTGGTTTTGCTTGGTTAATCTTCCTCAGAGCAGTACATTTTTCGTGGCCTACTGCCCTCAAAGAACAGAGCCGTGCAGTAAAAGCCATGGGAAAAGGTCATTAGTTATTACATTCTACTATGTATGCATTACTTATCTTCACTCCTGTACTATAGAGATCTATTTCAGGAAACACATTTGGAATGAAATTTTCCCTTAAATAAAATCTTCAATAAATCTTGAATATAGAGTCTACTCATTCTCTTGTTCTAATCCAAAACCCAGCATTGGTTTGCCACTCTCCTCCAGAATTCCTAGAGGAATATACCGGAAAATCGTATTCCCAAGGGCAGACATCTAGAGTGCTCTAATAGGCATCTAGACATTTTATGGCATCTTTTGACATTCGGAAGTCTTTTCTCTGATAACTGACCCCTGTCTACGATGGGCAGCCAAAAATTTATTGTATGACCCTGTCCTTGGCCCCAGCTGGTTGGACCGGTAGTGGACACTTGGTCTACTGGACCACTTAGATTTCTCTTTTGTAAGTTTGAACCTGCGACTCAGAGGCAACCAGTCCTTCTCTTCAGTCGTTGGAACTGTTTCAAAGGAACCTGGGAGTGAAGGGCAGTTCTGTATTCCCCATGAGAAAACAGAAGCAGAGTAGGCTGGTCTGTACGGAAAGAGAAACCTTTTAGGGGGGGTCTCCTGAGAGAAACTGCTTTCTGTTTCCCTGGCCTAGTAGCGTATTGAAACCTAGTGGCTGTCCTGACTTTTCACTCCCTGATGCCACTGTGTCCTTATGATAAATCCCTTTGCTTCTTTATCATTTTCAACAAAAAAGAATAAAACATTCAGGGCATTTAATATGTGCCCTGTAGAGTTCTACTCACCTAAGTCATCTGTATCATCCTTCCAGGAATTCCATGTATTATGCAGATTACCTGCAAACAAACGGAGCCCCGGGTTGCACAGCTAGCACTGGGTGAAAAGGGACTCACCCTAAGGCCGCCCAACTTCAGAATCTGGCTCTAACTGCCCTGTTGTACCGCTTAGCCTGCTCAAGTTGGTTTCTAGGACCTGGAAACAGAATGTCTTAGGGAAATAGAGCTCTTCTCAGTCTGCCCCACTTTGCCTAACAAAGGAACCCGGGCCATTCTCTTCAGAGGCCAGCTGGAGCCTGCAGTCCCCTAAGACAAACCATAGTCATTGTCACCACTGCGCCCTCACTCCTGAAGCTTCAGACTCACTTCCAGTTCTGTCTCCCTGAAACCTGCTCCCCACATGTTAGTTCAGTCAGTACCTCTGGTGCCTTGCAATTGTACTGATAGCTTATTGTTTTCAGGTTTTTTTGATTAATACACGTCTGGAGTACATAATGATTACATTTCTTGTGGGAAATGGTTGCATGTATTTATAACACATCTTTGCATCTATGTCAGTCTTCTGTGATGAGCCAGGAAGGTCCTTAAAAGCGGGGGCTATGTTTTCTCTTTCTCTGTGTCTACTGCAGCATGATTCATTGGAAGCAGGCAAGAGAAGCTTCTCGAACTGAATTAAGGTCAGGAATCTTATGGGAGTACACAAAAGCAAGGAAACGAGGCTTAACTTTAAAGGAGCAGCTGCTGTCTCTGTGTAAGTGTCCAGAATGGTCTGCATTTATCCATCCTGTACTAAGTTTCACTTGCTACTGTTACATTTTAATGGGTTAAAATTTCTATGGAAGGAAGTTACACTTGTACAAAAAGATATTATATAGAAACATAAATTTTTGCCGGGCATGGTGGCACACACCTGTAATCCCAGCACTCGGGAGCCTGAGGCAGGAGGATCACTGTGAGTTCGAGACCAGTCTGGGCTACATAGTGAGTTCCAGGTCAGTTTCAACTACATAGTGAGACCCTGTCTCAAAACAACAACAAAACAAAAAAACCCATAAATTTTCCCTTATAGCTGAATTTCACCCAGCCCTTGATCTCCTTGATGCGTGGCCCCAAGCTTGATATTCTGTTTGAACTGTTGTTCTTGTTTTCTTTTTGAGATGAGCTCTTACCACATTTCCTTGAGAGAGCTTTAAATCTTCAGTCTTCAGATCTTAGCCTCCTGAGTAGCTGGGATTATAGGCATGGGCTACCATGCCTGGCCTGGTTCTTCCAAACCTGACTTTCTTTCTTTTCTTTTCTTTATTCTTTTTTTTTTGGGGGGGTGCTTTGAGACAAGCTCACATTTTGTAGTTTAGGCAGACCTTGAACTCACTATGGAGCCCAGCCAGGCAGGCCTTAAACTCACAGTGATCCTCCTACCTCGGCTGCCTGAGTGATGGGATTACAATTGTGCGCTACCGTGCCTAGCCCAAGCCTGATTTTGTGAAAGTGACGTATGCTGCTCCCCCTACCCTCAAACACAGCTCTGACTTCCAGGTTGGGAAGCCCCAGAATGACCCTCATAGCACCTTGACACCTGCACCAGTGGATGTTGGATTCTTCGCTTTGAGGAAAGTTTGGGAGTGGCAAGAATATTCCTGTGGTCCTATGAAGGCCTTGGAATCCTCTGGGCTCAGGATTTACTCCTCACAGACAGAACCCCTACTGCTTGCTTTATGTGTCTACTTAGTGTCCTGAGAGATGCCCAACTGGACCCAACTCTCCTCACGATGGGCAGCACCATCATCCAACTGCCCAGGCCTGAAGCCTGAGTCATGTTTGAGTCAGAAGTCACCATGCTAAAAATAACAAAATCATTTCCGTCTTTTCCATCCATACCGGATTTACACACAGACACTGCCCTCCCTCAGTTTTTTCAGAGGTGTCTGAGGTGGGTCCCTTCCTCCCTGTTCCCTCTGAAAGGCTCAGGATTTTGGCACCAATCTCTGTCTTGATCACTTTCCCTTCGGTTGCTCTTCAGTCCATTCTCTGTGCCTCTGCCAGGTAATTCCTCTAACACTACTTTAAACTTATTCTCTGGCTTCATAATTTTCACTGGTTTTCCTGATCTCTCAGAATAATCTGTCTTCTTTGAATTTTGAATCTAGAATTCAGGAACTTCTGAGGCCATTTTTTTCTTGATTTCTTTCTTATTCTCTCCCAAAAGAAGCTTTTAGCCTCAGCTGAGTCAACGCACTATAATTATAATTAGAGGATCACAGTGGAAACCCCAGCCCAGAAAATTTGAGGAAATTGCCCAAAGTCCAACAGCCTCTAGAGAGAAGCGCAGACAGCTTTCCATGTACATCACGCTTCCGAGCTCATGGAACTTCTAGCAGATGTTAATGACTTGTGAGTATGAAACTTAATGACCTTTGGAAGATAAGTGAGGGACAGTGTTTTTCTGCTGCTTCTTCAGAGTTGTGGGTCCCTGTCCTCTATTCAAGCCTAAGCCAGTAGACAGTTGCTTCTGTATACAACTGGAGCATGCAGAGTGGAAGGAGATCTAGGTAAATATCCTAGAAAGGGCAGCCCAGAAGGTGAACTCCTCCACTGGACAGCGCTGGGGTCAGATTGACTCAGTTAAAATGTCCCTCCCATTGGCACCAGCTCTCTCCACTTCCAGGCTCCCACAGTGTTCGTTCAGCCCTGCTGGTTGGGACTTGAACTTCAATCTTTTCATACCCCCAAGAACATGTCCTTTGACTCTCAAGCCAACGTTCAATCTAGAACATCCCCTCTGCCATATTTCTTATCCGTGAGTACACAGAAACAGGTAGGATTGGAAGCAAGCAATCACAAACGCGGAATGTTAACTCATTCAGTCAGCTGTGGCTGTGTGCCTGTGTGCCAGGCACTACTCTGATTGTGATCTCTATAATAATGATTGGTTATTAGCTCTCACTGTGGGCCAGCAATAGTTTTCAATACTTTTCCAGACACAGACATAGATAAAGATATTTAGATGGAGAATCTCTGCATTTACCCAACAACCTCCTGAGATGAGTTTGGGCTTTTATTTTTGCTGTTGAAAGAACAACAGTAAAATGAACTCCCGTGTATGTGTCATCTAGTTTCAATAATGATCAACTCTCATGGCCATCTTGTTTTATATTCCAATTTATTTTAAGACACAGCAACTGTAGAGATAACAGCTCTAAATGAATAATTATAGCAGGATCCCTATAAACACAGCCGTATGATACAGAAAGCAAAAAGGAGGCAATGAATTTTATTACTTTTTTTCTTTTTATTGAGTTTATTGGTACAATCTAGGTATACAATACAGTTACATTCATTATTGGGATCTTGTACCTTTACATGACAGGTCTTGGTTCTCATTTTTTCCCCTTGTCCCTGCCCTCCCTTCACCCCCTCCTCCCCTCCCCATTTACAAACACTTTATTTCCATTTTTTCATTTTCTCATATTTTTTTCTTTTCCCTTATTCCCTTTCCCCTACCCTTCCCACTTTCCCTACACCTTCAGTCCTTTTCTTCCTGTTTCACATTATTAATTATCTCATTAGGATCTTGTGTACTATTATAGTTTTTCACAGGAAGCAATGGAGTTTGACCACAGAGGAAAAGAGCAGGATTCCCTTGACCTTTTCTGGCTCCGGTGGCTGACATGGTTCTGGTACCTGGGACCTCAAGCAGAGGGGCCTCCTGGTTGGGCCTTGAGGACCCCTGGGATACTGTGCCTACATACACAAGCCCACACACTCTGTTCAGTTGCTTCAAGGAGGGGTTTGCTGGGTTAAACAAAGTAACTTGATATAACTGTGAAGGTTTTAAAATTTCTATGTTGAAGAAAAGGCATGTTAAAATAACTCAGGAGCTGGTGGGTGAGGGGGAAGAGAGGAAAAACAAGATAAATAGTGAATAGAGAAGAACCATAAGACATTAAATTCAGGGAAAAGAGAAGAAACCATAGAGGATACGGGAAGGATAGCTGACATGTTCCTCTCAGATACTTGAGGGAGGAGACTCCGAGTTGAAGCTGCCCAGGTGTAGGAGATTGGGCCATCACACCTGAGCAGTTGCAAGGCTGGAGAAATCACACAGAAAGAAACTTCTTCCCCAGTAACTTGAGAGTCAAAGAGAAAGGGTCTTGGAATGACTAAGGGAGAGAGTCAAAAGAAAACTGGAAAGTGGAACTACACATCTCTAAAATCCCGAGTGTTAACCTTCCTACCTTACAAGGGGCTGTGGATCATTCCTGGAACAGTCAGCAGCTGAGGGGAACAGGCATCTAACAGTCACCAAGTAAATGTCAAACATGACACCGTGTGAGGGTTGGAAAAACAGCAATAAAGTGGAAAGCTTCCAGCCACCAAGGGAAAGAATGCTGAGGGAGGTCCTGCGGGGGAGCCAGTTGCCGCTGCCAAGGCGGGGTGGGTGGCAGGAGATGTGGGGAGGGAGGGACTTCTGCGTTAGTCTGGCAGGATGAATAGTGTTTCAGGGGGTCGGAGGGTGGAGGGCAGCTGCAGGCCACTGAGCAAAGGTTCAGTTTACAGGCTGGATCAATCTGGCTTGTGTACCAAATGTGTCCAAACCAAGTGAAGCAATCATGTGACCACTGGCAACTGTGCTGTGAAAAAGAGGCCACTTTTGGGAAGGATCATGTCAGAGGAGTGAAACAAAAGTGAAATGAAGTCTCGTGGTTTCAGGTAAATGTCTGAGCCAGAGATGTGCATTCAGTGACACTGGAAGTGAGATTCTGACAGCACTGCTCACACTGCTGCAGTCCTCAAGATCTGTGTGGGAGTGCAGCACTCTGGGGTGTCAAACACTGGGAGAGAAGGTGCTGAAGTCAGCAGGGCTCTGCATCCCTCCCCCCGGAAGTGCTCCCAGAGTCTCTTCCGGGCTCCTACCCACCTGGACTTGGGCCTGGGCTTCTCACAGGCACCCTGACCACTCCTTGGTCTTCCTGCTCCAATCCACCAGAAAATGAATATTTAAAAGTAGTGGCACTGCCCAAAACCTGCCCAATAAGCGCTGCTTTGACTGTACCATTGGCCTTCTCGCTTCTTATTTATTACTTTTGGATTAGAGCTGAGATCCCGCAGCAGTCACTTAGAGCTGTTCTCCTCCGAGCGGCTTCTGTCTGTCCGACCTCTGTCTTCAAAGGCGCAGCGCAGTCATCTTCTCCTGAACCTTCCCTCACCCTGGCAAGAGTGGAGTGAGTGACATCGCCTGCGGGGCTGCAGCTCTGGGGAGCTCAGCCACCCAGTTACCCTTTCCGCAGCCCATTGGCAGTTCGCACACTGGTGCCTGAATCAGGGAGTCCTCGCCTTGAGCCTTTCACGAGCTGCAGACGCCCAGCTGCGCAGGACCTGAGGAGTCTTCTGG